GTAGGTTTTACTTTCCTCTCAGTCTCTCTCTGCTCTGAGTAAACCCAGCCTGCAGTCTGAATCTTTACCAGCCAGTCCAATCTGAGTGAGTCAGTCAGTTTTTTTACCAAACCTGTATGAAGTCTCTCGAATCTTAACACTTCTTTGACATTTTACTAAAAGTCTGGCCTTTCATCTCCTATTTTTTTTTTTTACTTTTTATACATATTCATAACTTTGACACTGGCAACAAAAACTTCATAAAAAACAACATGAAATCTAGTAACCGCTGAGCTGATACAGAACGTGTCTGCAATCAGGTTTTAAAAGGGCAGCGATTCTGAATAAAATCTCTCATGAACGTTGGTTCAAAGTTTTATATGACTGCAAGTAACAATATTCACAATTGTCTGTGAAGATTCTCAGTCATCCAGGTTACGGTTATTCTGGTAGTTTAATCATAGTAACTGGACTTGCTTGAGTTCCTTGAAGACGTTCCACCTCTCATCCAAGGGGCTTCATCAGTTCTGAATGACTAGTTGGGAGTTCCAGATACTTATATCCTAAAGGAGCCATTAACACCTGAGTTTTGGTTTCAACTGGGGGTTTGTTACTCCTCCTGCTAATCACAACTGAAAACAATAAACCTAATAGACAACAAACTTGCAAATTCTGTCCACTATCCTGTTTACTTTTTTCCTTGTATTTTTTTAAGCAGTATTTGAGATTTTGATTTATTTATTTTGCTTATTTCTATCTATCTATCTATCTATCTATCTATCTATCTATCTATCTATCTATCTATTTCTTGTGTTTTTATTCTGTTTTATTTTTATTCTTTAGTCTTGTTTTGTCCACAACCCGAAGATATTCAGTTTATGGTCAGGGTGGAGGAAAAAACCCCCAGAAAACATTCACATTTAAGAAGCTAGAATTAGAGAATTCAGACTTTTTTTCCCTCTAAAAATGTGCAATGAATTGATGAAGTAATTAATAAAACAGTTGATTAATTTAACCGTTGACAGCAGCTCGAGTTTAAACGCAGGATATTTTGTATAGTAGTTTTTATACTAAACTGTTGTTGCTGTATGCTTGAGAAAGCAAATTAACAATAAAACTATTATTTTTAAAAGACCAACATATACAATGAAGGCACCACCACTGCTGAATGCTGAAATAACCCAGAAATAAATGTGCATTTTAACTTGTCGGTGAGGATCTGTTCAGTTTACTGGATGTCTGGTGCCCCGGGGTCACACACCGACCTGCCGCCCGGCTCCACCTGCCCTCCCCGGCCACCAGGCTGTCCAGCTGCCGCCGCTGCTGGTCTATCTGCTCCCGGTACCGGGCCACGGTTTTCCCGAACACGCCCAGGATGTCGTCCACCGCCGCCGTCAGCCGCTCGTTGACGAACATCCGCAGGGTGTCCATCTCCGACAGCGGGCTGCTGAGCGGGTCCACACCGCCGAAACCCTCCGCCGGCCCGGGAGGGAAGGACGGAGAGGAGGGGAACATCTGCGGACCAGCCGACATGTTTCTGTACTTTTAATTTTCTACAATATTTGGACTTAATGTCGCTGAAAGTCCAAGTAAACGCTGAAATATGAACGTTTTAATGGATAAAACAGCGAAGTTAAAGCGTTTAAACGCTCCTGGATGAAGACTCATGAACTAACAGGCACGTTAACGGTGACAGGAGAAAAGTAAACAAAGCGGCTGAGCTCCGGCACTAAAAGTTGTCCGGAGGAGGGGGGGAACCAATGTGCAGCTATCTTTAGTTCCGGCATGACCAAATCAGAAAAAAAAGACTAAAAAAAAAAAGAAAAGAAAAAGGAAAAAAATCGTGTGCCAGATATTGATCAGAACAGAGAACACAATTATATCATATGACAATAAATGCATTTCTTAATAAAAACAAACAAACAAAAAAGCCCAATACCATATGTTAAAAAGGATAGGCTAAAACAAGATTAGAATAGAAAAGTAAGAGGTAATACTGACAGTGATTCTGAAGCAGTGCAGCAATATTACACATGATATTGAAATTCTGAACATGATAATGAACCATTGCACCTGAAATTGAAATATCACACAATGCAAATGCAATATTGCACCTCAAAATGAGATATTGCACTGATGTCGCACAAACTATTGCGAAAAGTAATATTGCAAATGACCTTCATGTTCAGATTTATGATGCTTCAGCTGTAATTCCTACAGAAGGGGAGGGATTATACAGTATAATTGTAATGTAGGGGTGTCACTAACATGTAAATTAGTCAAACTGAGTTGGGCGCCACACCGTTGGATTAAGGATATTCCTTACCTGTCACAACTACATAAGATAGAAGAGAACTACAGTCATTGATTTCAGTTTTATAAGAAATATATCATAGACAAAAGTTAATTCAGTTATCAGAATCCCAATGAATAAAACAGAAACAGAATAAATCATTCTATTTCAGTATCCTGTTAAAGAAAATCAAATGCTTTTCAAATTTTAAAAAAAAGTTTTTTTCATCTCAAAAACGGATTCAGTTCCATTTTGAGGAGATGTACAACTTAAACTGAGTCAAGGCAATAAGGAAGAAGGGGGAAAAAAGCACAATTACACACTGATACATCGTGATTTATAATACCAGTTAAAATGACCAGTAAACCTGTGTAGTAACTCCATGGAGTGAAGTAAAAACGACAATATTTGTCTGTGAGCTGAGTATAAATTTGACCGAAACTGAAACTGAAACACTTAAATCTAAAATTGTATTTAATGACAACATTTGAATGTGAAAATACATTTGTGTCCTAAATAATGAAAAGAGTAAAGTGAAAAGGACAAAAAAGGAAAAAATTTATAGAATTACACATATAAATGTGAGGAAGAAGGAGAATGTAGGAAGCTTTCCAAAGGCTGCAGAATACTTTGACATATAGGCAGATATGAGAAAAATTGAAGAAGACAAAAAAATAATATGGAAGTTTATTCAAGTAAAAGCACAAGTCGTTTTTTTCCAGCCACAGGTATCTTAAAGTATTTGCAGAAATTTCTGGGAAGTCATGATGAATGTACATCATTTCTGTTTCTGTCCACTGAGTGGAGGCAAAGTCATGTTTATGTGAACAGCCTGAACTCTCCTCTCTGGTTTACCAACTTTTAACAGACAAATATTTCTGTTGTTCCTCGTGTCTTAAAGTCTGTTTTCTTTTATTTGATTCAAACCTGTGAAATTCTGAAATTCACAGCTTAATGATTATAATTGTTCCTCTTGCAAACTGTGCAGTGATACTTTTGGTTGGGAACTCAATTAAAATATGGATTTTTTTTTGGTGAAAAAAGAAAGAAGCTTTACATTTACTACATTTATTGCTCTTAAATTCTTTTAGGTTTATGTTTAGAGGATTTTATTTTCTCCAAATGTGAAATATTCCTGGTATCTTACAACATGTTTAAAAGACTACAACAAAAATAATTTCCATTATTTAGTTTATATTCACTCCTAATATCCATATTACTGTATGTATGACTAATTATTTCTGAGTCAACATGGAGAAATTACAACTTCTATTTTAGCGAAGTGTTTCTCTGGATTGAATACTTCACTGATCTCACTGAGATGAAATTCTGAAGTCACTTGATGTGAACAAACATAAAGAACAACTGATGTGACGAACAGATGTTTATTATCTGACAAACTTAAAATCATATTTAAACACTGCAATAAGCTGGAAAATACTGCTGCTGAAAATCATCTCTTAGTCATTCACTAATGTAAAAAGGCACTTGTTAAACCCATCTTTACTGTATGGAAACGAAGATGAAGAGAGAAAATGAGACAGTTTAAGACACTGTAGCAGAGAGTCATACATTAACAAGATTATTGATGAAATAATGAGATAAATTAATTGATATTGTAACATTTTATTCTACCAACTGAAACAGACAGATTGATTAAGAAGTAACTGAAATAAAAAAAAACATGAAAACAACTGATTGGATGAAGAGATTTTTATTATTGAGAAACACTGAAATAAAAATGAAACACTGCAACAAGCTGCTAAATGTTGTTACTGAATATTTCAAATAGAAGAGAGGGCAGCAGAGAACAGAACCAGTGTGATGTTCCAGTGAGTGAGGTCAGGACTGGGAACACTGGTCTCTCCTCAGTGTCTCTGAGAGCGGAGTCTGGGAGCCCTGGGTGGCCTCACAGCTCACAGAGCCCACCTTCCTCCACTGGTCTGCAGGGAGCCTCAG